TGGACTTGGAAGTGTTTCTTATTTGCAGGAACCCAAGACTTGGTAATCACCAACTCATTGCATCCCTTCATCTCTTGATTACTATAACCTTTAGACAAAACAAATGAATAACCCTCAGCTAAAAAAAAAAAATCCATGCCTCTAAATACCAGGCTTTTAAAATTAAAACAAGTAAAGAGAAAAAATAAAGTCAACAAGAGAATCATAATTCTAACTCAACACCCACACCATGTAAAGAAGCACTTACACCTCTGTGTCTAAGATCTTGAGGTGTTGACAATCAAATGCTGGTTTTCTCTGGAATATCTTTCAGATTCTTCTTATGCAAAATTTCTTTTCCAGTGAAAGCACATTGCCTGCTGCTACCAGTCTGAGTCAGCAGGATAAAGAAACCTCTTGTTTTTGAAGCATAAGTGAGATCTCGTTCTGGTTTTCTCTTTGGGAAACTGTCCTTCCTCTAGAGCAGGTCTGTGAACTCAGCAAGCCTGCTTTCTGGAATGCCCAGGTACATTCTGTTTCACTGAAGACACACGCTGTAAAGGCTGCAATATTTTTTAAAGTACTTTTTGTCCGGTCTTGTAGGACTCATCAGTATGACCCAAATCTGTCCAGTGTGGTAGTTGTCTTATGTTTCAAAAAAATAAATAAATAAATAAAATCCATGCATTTTGGGGGAAATTTCCCAGGCCCCCACCTGACATGCTTCCTCTGACCATTTCTGGTCTTCCCTCTTTCCCGTCTTGACTTCCTCTCTTTCTTTCTGTTCATCCCCCTGCCCGCCTCCTCTGCATCCTCCTCCTCTCCAGGCACTGTCACTGCCCGGTTTCTTAGCTGGAATGACCACACTTGGTCACCGAAGTTCCTTTTCCTGCTCCGTGGCCTTATCTGTCTGCTCGCTGGCTGTGAAGCCCTGTGCTGTTCACCTGCTTCAGTCCCAGGTCCCTGGATGGAGCCCTTTAGAAAGTGGTTCTGATTAAGAAGATTTTTTGACAGTACGTGTCCTTTGTCAAGCATCTAAGACACAGTAGGCAGTTATCCAATGGCACATAGTTCTCCTGTATGATGCTTCTTACCAGAATTTTTTTGTTTTGCATAAATCTCCTGTCTTTTTTGTTCCATTCAGACTTCTTATATGCTTTTATTATATTAATATATAATGAAGTGTTTTAAAAATAACTTGATATTTTTAACCTTTGGTACCTTTTCAAGGACCTATTTCTGGCTCTAGGATTGCCGCATTTTTATCTTTAACTCTTCAAATCTGAAGAGATACCCTGAATACATTTGCAGCTTCTAAATTTATAAACCGACATATTTGATATTCTCTTTATAACAGATGCTTGACAAGCCCATCATCAGTGAAAAATGGCAAATGGCGCAGAACAAGACATGCACAGGGTGCGTGTGGCTCCTCCTGCCTGTGTCACGTGTGTTCGCGGGAGACCATGGGGGCTCCAGGGGGCACAACTCTGTCACCTTTGCCAGAAGTCACTTTATCATAAACCACATTCAATCTATTTAATGCAAAAAACCCACAAAACATTCAAAGTAAGAATGCTAGTAGACATACTAATTTGTTTTACATTTATTTTCTTAGCAATATACATGCATATCTTATTAACTTTATATGAGTATACCTAAATCATAAGAAATTTAGATATGTATTTGACTCCATATATCTGACTTTTGTGGATGCCATAAAATGCATAGAGTGAAATAAGAAATATAAAAAAGTAAATTACAATGCACGTCTGACAGTTCTACTTTCCCGATTTTACTCATTTCATATCATATTGTTACTATTTATTTTCACATTTTCTAATCACTTTGATAATTTGTAAAAAATATTTGACAAGTTTTGGTATTTGCAGCTCCTCTAATATGAATGTTGAAAAAAGTAAAGGAAACCCACCAAACTAAAAAAGAGAATTATAAGTACTGTATGTTTCTAGTGAGGGACAGAACATATAATGAAAAATAAAATTAAAAACTCACTAAGTTGTGAAAAAATTACCAAGCAAAACAAGACAAAATGGTATGAGGGCATTGATTGTAAAAGCATACATTGGACCTGTGATATTGTAACATGATTTCTAAGTATATATTCATATGTAATATATATATATATATAAACATAATATATATATATATATGCACACATAATTCATGTATTCTCAATATCTTCTAATAGAAAAACACTGAGATTATGTAGCATAGATTTCAAAATAGATTCTTCCTCAACTGGCGTTATTGACTTGTCTTCACTTAAATTCACTATACTTCTCAATTATCAATCCTCCAAGGCTAACTTCAGAGCGGATAGCAAAAGGAGTTCACAGTTGCAGATTGGCTTTAAAAAGTGTCTGTGGTTGACTCCTGGGCACACGACCAGAAGCAAGTGGCCACCACATACGTGGTGCAGATTTTTGCTAAAGAAAAAAAAAATGAACCCCTTTATCTCTGCTTTTGAAGGTTTATTTTCTTCTCCTTGTGTTTCATGAAATTAAAAGAAAGTGAGTGAAAATATGTGTATTGCTACTGTTATTTGTGGTCAATAATATAGCTAAGTAGATTCCCACAAACTTATTTTACATCTACTTACTTCAGAGTATTGAGCATTTGTTCATTGACATCGTAGCAGTATTTGAAAATACTGAGCACCCTTTATGTACTTTTTTGAGATATTTTATTCTAACTGTAAAACCAGATAGTAAAATCTGGGTCCGATCCACCTCTAACAAGTACTAACAATGGAATCCTTGGCAGATGAGATTTCTTTTAAATTTGGACTTTACTTTCCTAATCTGTAAAATGACTAGAATGACACATTGCTCTGGAGCAGATACAAGAAGGAGATGAGAGGCTGTGCTCAGTCCATACTAGTTCCCTGAACTAACTCTGCTTACTCCTGGTTCAGTGCAGCCACACAGCCTAAAGGAGGAGACTAGCACGTTGGAAACTAATTAATGAAATATGGTGAGCACTGTGCTGTGGTTATATAAGTGGATGGGAAAGTGTAGGGAGGACACTGTCCCCTGCTTTTTTCTTCCCCAGCAGAACTGCATTTAACATAAAGGGGAGTCGTTTTATTGAATAATAAAAGCCTGCCTATCGCTGAGCTGGCTGCCAGCCACCTCTGCAGAGCAATTCTAAACAGCTTGTTTTCCAAGTTCTTCTGAAATAAGTCTCTAACACTGGCCACTGCCTAACTCAAAGGTGCACAACTTATTTCTAAAGTGAAGTGGCTCACATCTGAATACTGCGGTGAGGTAAGTAATGAGAGAAATATACATTAACATCTTATTTTCTCCTTACAATGATTGGAATCCGATGTTTTTTACATGAAAAGAAAAATTTGGAAAATTTAACAAACTAAGGTTTCATGATACAAAAATTAACTCACGACCCAGAGAAAAAGACAAGTGAAGAGATCTTATTAAAAAATAAAAATAAAAAAGAAGCCCAGAGTGTTTTAGAGTGAAAGGCACATTTGAACTGTATTATGCAGCTTAAAATCCAGTGGTTTCAGGATGGAATTCAATGAGGCTTCAGAAGGCACCGAATCACTTTCTCAGACTGCATTTCTCATCAAGAACGCTCACACTGTGTGAATAGTAAGTTGTTGTAGGGCTGGCAACCCACCAAAATAAATATTTAATGATATTTTAATGCTTATTTTAAATCTCTTTTGTGTAAATTGTGGATTAAGACTGTGTTGGGTCAATGGATTCTGACCAGAATGTTTGAGAAACCAGAATATTTGCTGTTGCAGCTCTCTATGGCGGCTGCATACTTAATTTTCACAATTGTCCAGGGTAGGTCACCTCTGGGAGACATTTCGTCTTAAATGTCAACCTTGGGAACGTGGAGACAGCAACCTGGGGACCCTGGAGCTGTGCAACGTCTACTTCTCAAACACGGAGATGCCGATTAATCCCACACACCCCCGACTCAAGGCAGCACGGGGAGACGGAGGGACGGTCCCGCGGTGGGTATTGCACAGATATGAAGAGAAATGGATGCGCTCCGGCGCCAGAAAGAGGGTTCTTGAACAGGCAGTGGGAGCATCCAGGGCTTCCGGAGATTGGCTGATGGAATCTGTGTTCAGGCGACAGGCAGCCTCAGCCAGACGCCAGGTGGAGAAGCCCTCACCTCCCACCTGGCTGCGCCCGCTCCTGGCGCGCTTCTCCCCCTCGCCACCGCCAGCTGCTCGCTCCCCTTCCCGTCCGTGGATTCGCACAAAAGACCCACTCGTCCCCTGACCCCTGGCCCTTGACTTCCTGCCCCAGCCCACAACTTGAGCAGGAGTCAGGCAGGAGTCCCAGCCATGGAGCCTTCCAGAAGAGCTTGGAGGCCGGCGCGCGCGCGCAGACCGAACAATGCCTGGTCCAGGCAGGGATGCATTCGCGCCCCACCCCTGGCGATGGAGCCCGCGGAGAGGGACGCGGGACAGGGCCCTGCAGGAGAGCCTGCTGCGTCTCTCCCCGTGCACACGTTCCCCTCTGCGGCGCGCAACGCGGTGCCCTGCACGCGGATGTGTTGATGGCGACCCAGATGGAGGGTGGCTGTGCCCGAGGCAACGCCCCCAGTGTCGCCGGAGCCGGGTTCCCGGAGCTGCGCGAGGAAGCGCAGATCTAGGGGAGGGAGCGGCCTGGGAGGCAGGGACCTGGGGAGCAGGGGGAGGTGGACAGAAACTTCGGGAGAGCCGGCCGGCCGGGCGCACCCTAACTGCCCTCCTCTGCTGGCCTGATCTTGCCCCCAACACCCTCACCTGCTGGCCTGATGGCCCCCAGCTGCCCTCCCCTGCAGGTCTGGTTGCACCCAATCCGTGGCGCCAGCCCGGCCCTCCCGCCTGCGAGGCAGCCTGTCACGTGTCAGTATCCGAGGTCGAGATCCAGAGAAAAACGCGCTTCATTCCTCCCACCGCCATACTGTATTTTATACCAAATCTCATTTTTATTCCAACATTTTACTCCCGCTCGGTGAGTACCTTCTCAGTGGCATTCTTGTCCTATTCTTTTTTTTGTCCTTTTTTTGTTTTTTTTTCTTCTTTTTTTTTTTCCACTTCTTTGCTTATTGTTTGTATCTGGGAACGCTGGAGGAGATGGTTTGGAGCCTTTTCCTGAGCCAAGTTTTTCTAGCAGGCGATGGGGCCGTGGACGCGGCGAGGTCCCGAGTCCGCGGCGACCGTGCTGCGGAGCGACTCCGGCGAGATGTGCAACTGGTTTTTATGGAAAAAGCGATGTGAAGTGTGGTGCCTGTTTTTTCCTTTGTAAAAATATTTTAAAAGCATGTTTCTACCTCTTTTTTTTTCGCCTACTCTTTTTCTGATAAGATTTTTGGATAGGTGGGATTTTACGCAGTGTTTACAAGTTTGTGGTTTTGCAATTCGGGTACAAACCACTGAGCAGAGGCGTGCCTTTTCCATTTTCTTGGTGCCCTTTTTGGAGCCGGTGAGAACAAATTCGTTTTCCCCCCGTTTTTGATAGCCGTTGATAACGTGAAACTTTTCTTGCAGCTGGTTACTGGGATTATTTTTAAGCAAAATACTTTTTTCCCTCCTTTAAATTAACCATGACTTTTGCACATTTGACTTTTTTAAAACCCGAGATAATTTTATGATAGATATCCTGATATCTATATCTATATTACCCCTTCTTCCTGCCCCGCCGCTCCCCTTATATCAATTTTCAAATGATGGCAGTGGAAGGTTTTTCTGGAAAAAAAAAATGAAGTGCGGTTTGGTTTCCTTGTCAACGGAGGATGAAGTGAACGGCTGAACAGCTCGCAGCGAGCAGGTACTTGGTCCCTTTGGAGGCGTTTCCCGGGTTTGCAATGGCAGCGCTGGTCCTGGCGAGGACGAGTGTGTGTGTGTGTGTGTGTGTGTGTGTGTGTGTGTGTGTGTGTGTCTGCGCGCGCCCGCGGTGGGGACAGCCCTGCCAGGCGCCGGGGAGAGTCCCCTGCCTGCGATCCCTCCTGGATGTGCGCAAAACACAGTCCCTCCTCGGCTGCGCCCAGGTCTTCTCAGCAGCTGGCGGCTTCGGCGCCTTGGGCGGCGGCGGGCGGCGGCCGGGACTCAGCACGCCGGGCCCTGTAAGTTCTCGCAGGGCGAGGGCCCTGGGCGCTGCGCAGGCCGGCGGGCGACCCCTGGAAGTACCGGGAAGTGGGGAGGGAGCATCCAGGCAGCATCCTCCCAAGGGGCTGGCAGCTGGCCACAGGGCCAGGCGCTGGGGACCTTTCCTGCTCCCAGAGGATGGCACCAGGCACCAGCCCAGGCGCGCGCGCCCAACTCCGGCTCCTCCTCTTTGCCAGGAGTAAACAAGGCAGGAGGTCTTTCCCAGCCTGGTTGCAGGTTCGGTTCCGAAGGGTGTTGCTGTCTCAGAGCGGCGGTGTTTCCTTTCTCTGGTGTGCGCTTGGGTGCTAAGGACTTGCTGGTGTCTTCCAGGGAATGGGGACACAGTTACTTTCCATGATGCGCAATCGGGTATCATGTTGAGGATGAAACAGTTGGTATTAATGAGACCACTCCCCTAAGGTACAAAATTCTCCATTACTCCAGGCGTAAAGAAACACTGTTGACTCGTTATAGCCACCTGACAGTGGTGCCAAAGGCTTTCCCTTGAGAACCGGGCAGGACAGGTAGGGGTTGGTGATGGTGTTGCTTGTGTTGGTAGCAATGCGCAGTGTTGAGTGTATTCTGTGGAGTTTGTGGTAGTTTATGACTGTTCTGTTATACGTTTCCAGTGTAAGACTTTTGGGAGATGAACCGGTTGGTAATCAAAAGCCTTTTTCGGTACTAAACTCAGTGACAGAATCTGCTGGAAAGCTTGCTTTCCAAATAACTCTGCCGTATGTACTTTAAATCTTAAAATCTGGAGGGTGGCTGGTATTTAAATGACTTGCTTTTGCAGCCTTTATTTTCTTTTTCTAACAAGAAAAGCTCAGCTTAAATTTATCATGTGCATGTAATTTGTATTCTTTTAAAATGAAAAGAAAATGAAATATGTTTTATCTCTCAGGCTTAGTTTTCTTCTATGTCATCTATAGACTTAAAAACTAATTCCAACACATGGAAGGGCCCATAACAAAGGGGTTAATAACACATGATCGCCTTTTCAGGCCAATATTTCTCTAAGTCTTTAACCTGAGTTTGTGGAATGAATGGTTTTATGCCTGTATCTCTTTACTCCTGGTGCTAATAGAGTTAGGAGTGCAAATGACCGTTTCTCTGGAGAAGATTGAAGTTTATTGAAATATTCAGAGTGCTGTATATTTCTTTATTCACCATGCACTGCCTCATCAGAGGTCTGTAGAAGTCACGGTGCGAGCTGTGTTTGTGCTCCACGCAGCTGTCTCTTAGGAAAGCCCTGTTGCATTGGTAGCAGGGAGAGGGTTCATGTCCCGACTGTAGGCGGCCACACTCGATACTGAAGAGTGGGGAACTAAGCCGTGACTCGGATCCTAGGTGAAGCAAGCTTCCAGTGGTGATTTATGTGCATATGTGCTGTGCCTGAGCACATGATGAAAATGCAGTCTTTCATCTGGTTTAAACAACCCACAAAAGCATTTTAAAAGCCACTTGCAACTTTCTGGTTTTCTAAATCATTTTTCTCATAATCATGTGTGTAAGTAGAGATGCTCTTTCATTTAAAAATGCGAGATAATGCATGTGTACAGTATTTTTTCACAGGTTGCATGCCCTGTAGATCCTTTAGGTCTTTGAACAGAGAGACCGAGTGGGAAGGAAACAACTTGGGTAGTCAAACCAGCACCTTCACTGAGGCTGATGCTGCCCTGTGTGTGTGTGTGTGTGTGTGTGTG